GGATCGCGGTTGCGTTCTCCTTCAACAATTTTAGCTTCTTTTGCGGTAACAGCAGTATTAAGGATTCCAGGGGAAGCGCCCGGCGCGCTCGAACTTCTCGATAAGATCGAGACGCAAGTGGGAAGCGTTGAACGTGAACGTAGGCGTGACTCTCGTTGACACGGGCAAAGAAGCACTGAGACCAAGAAAATTAAGTGGCTTCGACCGAGATCTACCAAGCGTAGCTGTTTCTGGTGAATCAGAGTAACTGTTCTTTCATTGGAAAAACATCGTGTCAAACGAAAGAAATTGCTGTCTCCGTGGCAAGAAGCAAACACTTTCGACAAACAGTCGGATTGTAACACTTTGACACTTATGTACACTGTTAGAATTGATGTTGTAAGAAATTCTGAGGTAATGAGTCTCTGTTAACTTTGTGAATGTTAATTTTAAAGTCATATATTGAGAAATTAAATAAATTGTTTTGTTGATTGGGTGTTTTTATAATATATAGGAAACTTGGTTTATTTATATAGTATCTTTTTTTTACAATGATAGTAATGAGTATTAAATATTATGTGAATTATCCTCGAACTCAGTTTAATTTAAATATACTTTTAGGTAAATTTTTATAAAGTATCTTTCTGTCACTTTATTGTACATTGTTCCAAATGTATAAATTTTCAGTTTTTAACTATATGATGATAATATTCTATTTTGCTGTGTTCATATGTGTCTCCTTAAACTTTTCTCAAATATTTTTTATTATTTTAAGATTACAGAATCTTACTGGGTAGTTTAAAATATTTGTACTTTCCATTTATAAAAATAAAAATAGTTTACATTATTCCAACAATTTACAGTGAAACATTTATTTTATTTTCAAAGTGTTATGAGCACAAATTTCTATATGTCAGCATTATTCATAAATCGTGCACTGATTTTATTTTAATGTTTCCTTTATACTCGATAGATGTGTTTATTTTATCATTATAAAACCGGTAACTCCACCGAATTGTCGAGAATTGAGAACTCTTTATTTCGTAAGTTATAAAAATAGTATTTATATACATCACAACCATCCAAATATATTCTCTTTCCATCGGTAAACATGACTCATTTCTATTTCTTCCTCGACTGAAAGTGGTTTATAGTAAAATTTGATCGCGCAGCCTTATATTTTATCATTGTGCCTACCAGTGTATATATACAATAGACAGTATAAGTGCATTGAAAACTTTCCCAATAATTTTTAATGTACAAAGTTTTAATAAATAATAGTATTAACTATAAAGAAAATAAAAATGAAAAATATATTTATTATTTCATTAAGTTTTAAATATAATAAGTAACCGAGAGATTAAATATTTATAAACGACATACCAGAAAAATTGTTCGTCTCAGTCAACACAACCATTTATATTTAACAGATTTATATCACACGACAAAATGAAAAATGTATCCATATCACAAGATTCCAAAATCATCGCTGTCACGCATAATATAAATGCATTCATATACGCACTCTAGTGTGATAATGGCGAAAAATATTTCACGGATATATACACTAATAATCCAAATGTGTTAGAGACCTTTAATTTTGCATTTCACAAGTCCAATATAACACGATTAACCAGTTAACTGAGTTCGATGAATATACGTAATTTTAAAATCAAATTGAAACAAATTCTTTCAAAGATAAATTATTTATTTTTCCAGATAAATATGTAATTCTTCTTCGTTTTGTTTTAACTTTTCGTTAGAATATATTATAGGTGAATTTATTCTGCGTTAGACGAGTATACACTTCATTATTTGATTTCATTACAAGTATTATCAGGGATTTCTGAAATTAAATTTCACAATTAATAGGTTGATCCCAAAACCATGTTAAATTCGACTTCAAGATTCATGCAGTTTTTACCAGGTAATTTCAGAAACCCGTGTATTTGCATGGCAAAGATACTCGGTCCGGTCTTGAATACGCTGCACCATCCGATTGTGTCGATATATAGGTAGCATGCATTACGCTGCACGCTGTACGTACTGCATAATTCACACCAGGCAGTATCATTAACCGGGAATGGCGGCTGTAAAAATCTTGGGGCCTCGAGTACCCGATATTATAGAACACACGGATGGCGAGCTATAAAAGCAACAACGTGGCCCGTAGGTGTAGGTATTAAACGAAATCGATGTCATTGATGAAAGCTCAATTGCATTTAGACTCTGTCTTTTTTCCATTACAATAGTCAGTGGCTGGGAAAATTATTTTAAACGCCCCTTTTGTTTCGTAATAACTTCGTGTTCAAGAAACAGCACTTTAATATAATTTTTTCCTAGTGTTGGCACTTGATTAGAAAATTGGAAATTAGTGAAATAAAATTTTGATCAAATAATAGTCGAGTAGAATTTTTATTTTACTTTTTTATATGTTTGGTGTAGTGTCTTATAATTAGAGTATAATGTTTGTATGGTAATGTATTTATGAAATAACTATTTTAATATTTGCGTGATTGTATAAAAGAAGTGAAGGGTTTCTTTTCTATGGTGAGTGATTCACTTTTCTTTTGCAGTATTTGTTTCTTCAAAAAAAATCTTTTTTTTCCTGAAGATTTTTATGTGTTATTAAAAATGATACAAATATTTTGGGTTCTAGTTTCACCTGATTCTGCGTATCAGGTGCTTCTCACAATTAGTGATTAAATAGATATTCGTTTGTTAAAAATTGTATAGTGTATTTATTTTGAATCATTTTATGGCATAAATATGACGCTATCATTTAATAAATTATTTCTTACCTCTATTTGCCATATTTTTAATCTAATGACACAATAGTGAAAGAAAAGTAAATTTCAAAAAATGCGTGTATGAGTTTAAAGATAGCATATAAACTACTGTAAACTATTGGAAATATACATATAATATGATTATTGTATATGTAGTGCAACACTAGTTTCACCAACTTCGTAACGGCAATGAGAGTTTCGAAAAAAGAGTCTAAAGCAATTTTCAAAAGAATTTATTATCTTTGGAACTCCGGATTATTATGGTAATGAAATAAAGAAACCTGTATCACCTTGAGAACAGTATATAAATTATACTGATCTTCAGCCCGAGTAAATAAATTAATCTTAACTTAGGTTTTGAATACAAATCCTTATATAAGTATCGACAGTGGCTATTAAAGAAGTCATTAATTCTAGAGTTCCAGATTTTTATGCCAATAGAATAAAACAGCTTCATAATGGCAGGAACAGAATATAAATTGTAATGGTCTGTATTTTAAATTATGTCGAGAGCTGCCCCTTTGAAGTATTTATTACTTCAAGAATTTCAAATAATTATGCTAATAGAACAAAGATACCTGTATCGCGTTGAGGAAAGTATATAGATTATAATGATCTTCTTATTTACTAAATAAATTTATTTTAATAATGTTTACAGATCTGCATACTTAATTTGTATAGTAAGAATGATAATTAAATTATAATTATATTTATTATCAATTATACCTCTACAAATCACCAGTGTTCCACATTATTATTGTCTACTAGAATATTCTTGGTAAATATCCAAATATCCAAATGTCCAAATGTCCTAATATTCAAATATCCAAATGTCCAAATATCCAAACATCCAAACATCCAAACATCCAAACATCCAAATATCCAAACATCCAAATATCCAAACATCCAAACATCCAAATATCCAAATATCCAAATATCCAAATGTCCAAATATCTAAATGTCTAAATGTCTAAATGTCTAAATATCCAAATATCCAAATATCCAAATATCCAAATATCCAAATATCCAAATATCACGATTAAAAATTCCAATTTATTTCGATACATTCTAATAATAAAACCTTCAAATTTCCATCGTCTTGTTTACGCGATCACATCGTAACTATAACGATTTCTGTGTTCATTTTGGAAAACGGTCCGATGAAAGCGTTCAGTCGCTTCTCAATACAGCTGTGAGTCCGAGGTGTCCGAAGCAGCCAGTGCTCGATAGCTCGTCACGTTTCTTTGATGCTGTGTAAACTCGCGTGTCGATTACGCGCGTTTAACCTGTTCGAGTGTTGAGGGTGGCCGGGTTACCGATGAACCTGTTCGTGCATACCACTATACTCACAATAGCCGCGTTGCAGCGCAGCATCTCTGCGGCAACCTGTTTCTCCCTGGACGATTGGTTTCATGCTGAGCTCTGTCAAAACCTGTCGATGTATGTATCTCAAGGAAATTATAAGATAAATCTCCGACCGTTTGCCGCGTGATTTTCCATTTCGATCACGGCTACGAATATTCTCGCAAGTATTTCCGTTTCTCGATGGTGGGTGCAACGCTCGACGAGCAGAGCTGATGCAACGCTTGCTGCCGTTTTAAACACTTTTTGCTGCTTCGATGCGTTTATTTTATAAATCATACGTAGCGTACAAGAAGTATATAAGTGAATATCTTCGGTTCTAAAGTACAACTTGCTTTTAGATAAGCAACTTTTACATGCTTCAAAACCGAGGCCTATATAAATTTAGTAAATGAAAGAATGCAGATTTCAATTATTTTCTCTTATTTCTGGGATATATTTGTATTGACTTGGTGGAATGTTGGAATGTTGGGCAAAATGGAAATTAAGAGTCAAACATTTTTTTAGATATAACTATTTCTTTTTTAAGAAAACTTAGTTAATATTCTTTTAACAGTGCTCTATGATATTAATATTGTAAATAATAATGTGTCTATAATAATACATTTACCGTTTTAAATTTAACACTAAGTTTATGGAACGCGTCAATTTTACTCATATTGAATTTTATAAACATAAATTGCTAAATGTTTACATTTGTTTTAATTTATGCAGTTACACCCTAAGAGGTTACAATGAGAGATTCTTCTCATGAAACTTATAACAGTAACAACTACAATTATCATTTATTTCAATTAAATTTTATTAAGATTCATAATACGTCGTTTTATTACAATTATAAACTACATTAATTATTTATTTTAATTTCAGGTCCATCCGGATTATACGGCTTAAACAAAAGTTTGAAAAACAGTGGCCTTTTCCCGTCGACGTTCAACGTCGCCGCGAAAGCGGACGTTTTTGTGAACGCAACTTGCGGCGAGGAGGGACCAGAGACATTTTGCAAACCCTCCGAGTCATCAAGATGTGCGGTTTGTGATGCCAGAAGCCCTGATCCTGGCAAGAGGCATAACATTAGCAATATCTTGGACTCGAATCCGACGAAATGGTGGCAAAGTCCGACCTTGGCCAACGGAGATCTTTACGAATACGTTACCATCGTTTTGGACCTTAAGCAGGTTAGATATTTTATTTCTCAATGAGATAATGATTTTAAAACTACTTGCACATTTAGTATTACTATTTACAAATTATATTTCTTATCTAAAATGTAAGAAATATATACTAGCGACAAATACGATATTTGTGTACAACAATTTAATTATTCATAATACACAATCACAAAACATTTAAATTTAAGATAGGATTTACTAATGAATAATCCTATAGTTTATTTTACTGAACTAATAGTACGATATAAATTAAAAATACTTTCTACTAATTCATCCGCAAAAATGGGTAGAAGCGTCTGAGAATAGCGATCAATATTCATCTATTATTAACCTAATATAAAATCTTATGAGAAATAAGTAAAATTCGTTAAAAATTATACCCATCGTCAAATTGTGTCAATTTATTATACCCAATGAAAACGTTCAACCCAACTAATGAACCAAAATTCTACACACGAATAATATAAAAATCCAAATAAATATTTACAAGATTTAAAAAACCATTCTCTTGATAAAAGCAATTTCTATCATCACCGAAGAACCACGCAGGAATGAAAAACTCCGTTATTCGAAGAATTCGGTGCTCCAAATTGATTTATCCTTTGATTGCGTCGAGTGGTAACCTTCGCCCAAGCGCCGCCGACAGCGTTGCCTTACATTACGTCGCCATTAAGAGGGTCGCATAATGCGTAGGGCGGGTGATCGGCGGTGGCTGTTGTGCTGTGCCCTTTCCGAAAAATCGTAAAGTCGCCTTTTCCCCGCTCGTTAGTCTCGTTTCACGCATTGTGCCCACTTTGCCTTCAATTTATGTCCCCTGGGCCGGGTCGGCGGAGCGAAAAGGAACCAAGAAAGGGGGTCAGGGAAGAACGGAAACGAAAGCTGGGGAAAAAGAGAGGGCCGAGCCAGTAGCATTCATTACGCGAAACACGAGGAACGAAGACGAACAACTGGGCAGGGGCACAGGGACGGGTAACGGGCGCTGCTTTCTGGCTCCTTTCTCAGAATTTCAGGTGCCACGAACAGGTATAGCTGTGGTGGATACCAGGCAGATTGCAAACGCGGCCCGCGAAAAACGTTTTAACGATCTCCGCGGCCCTTTTTCTAGAGGGATCGGTAATAAGGACGCGGTTCAACAGACCCTGCCCACGTTCCCAAGCAACTTTTCCGTTAATTGCACCCTCCTACTCCTTTAATCAGCTTGGTTAGCGGTTGTCGAACTCTACTTGCTTCTCCTTTCCCTCGTTCAACACGTTAAATGCCATGTCAATCACCAATGACCGACACTTCCGAATTGTTGAAAAATTATTGTAATATGTAACATAACTGATGTGGGAAAAAAGGTACTACCAGACGGGACAAAATGACCCATAACTGATGTCTTCTTTTTGTAATTATTAAAAAGATAACGGATGTTCTTTTTGAGAAATTATTAAAGAAATTGATTAAACAACAAGAAAACTGAATTGTAAATCAATTAAAGTCTCAATAGATGCATTCTGGAGTTTCTATAGAGGAACTTGAAGAAGTCAATTTAACTGTTCGGTAGTTTTAATGTTAACGTAAATAAGTTGACAACAGTGTAATGTAAGAATTATGATGACAAAGAATGAATAATTGTTCCTGTTTATCTTTGCTACGAAAGGATCAGTGTTATGCAAAATGGCCGAGATTTCCGTGGCGCTTAACGCAAAGGTCAATTTTGAAAATTTCGCCTAAACTGTACAATTTTTGCTGACCAAAAAAGTTGAATGTGTGAGAAATAAGGTACCGATTGCTTTTTTCGTTCGTGCATTAATAAACTTGTGTGCTTTGTTGAAAATTCGGATTTTTCGTGGAGTATTGAGATTTGCTCGGCTAATTCTTCGAAACATTTTTGTGTTTCAAAGAAATTGTGTACACTTTGTTCCAAAATAAAAGTTTCTCGGGTAAGTATGTGCTATACTTTTGATAGTCCGTGATTCTTCTATTATGTAGCTTTGTGTTATTATTTATATTTAAGCGTGATTTATAATCAATGATATTTCGTACAATTTTAATACTTCACAAATGATATTGTTTTACTGCCCTGTGAGATTCAATCTCCTTTCAAGCGCTATTATATTCGGCAAAGGTTTGTGTTTATTATGCACAAACAATTTTTACCGCATATTTCTGTCTTTTTTTTAGAGTATTTCTTTTAAAGTGCGACACGAAGCGCTCAAACACGCGGACGCGACCGTATGCTGGTGTATAATTAATATTTATTAACCTATTATATATTATATAGGTATAAGTATACTACTTAATTAAAAATTCTGTAAGTGAGAGTTGAACATTGACTAATCCTGGGAAGGATTCGATTAAAAATGCTAATTTTTCATTGTATACAATAACTGTTTATTTATTGGATGTAGAAGATATATTCATTAATAACAAAGGGGAATGTTGCAGTAAACGTTAACGGTTATCACATATACATAAATTAATGAATTTAAATGTGTTCTGTTGTAAATAAAATACATAACGTAAACATTGAACATCAATTGGAGAATGTTCTCAGTTATCTCTGAATAACAAAACTTTGTAGCGTTTTGCCATTTTTCAATGCTAGTATTGTTATATTTCTCATTTGGTAATTATTATGATTTGCAATACAAAATTTTTTTATGTAGCAAAATAAAGAATATTTAAGACATAAATAGTGATTTCTTTTGTTATAGATTATAGTATTAATATATTTTGTAACAATAAGTTTAGTAATTTTAAGGCTGTGAAAACAATTATGTACGAGAAATTAATTCGATAATGTTGATTATAGTCTTCGTAACGTCTCATCTGGGCTATGCGTACAATAATTACAGCGAGTATACGTAAGAGTACAAGAGTTGAATTCAGGTTTGGTTGGGTGTAATGAATACGTTAAGATAAACGAAATCTTCGTGTGTAATTAGGGAAGAGGAGAGTGGGCCGAAGATTCAATCCCTAACCGAACACTGATTGCTAATCCCTCCTTTACAGAGATACCTTCGGTGAATAATCGCGGTTCGCGGGATTGCTTGCAGACGATGATCTCCTCGTAATAATTAATTAAAAAGCCTTATTAAAGAAAATTTTTATTACTGCGATTAAGAATACATTGTTGTTGATAACTACAGAGAATATGTAGCAGAAAATATTGCAATAATTTACGAGCATTTATAAAGCAATAATTATTTTATTATTTAATTATTACCAGGGTAATTAGTAAATTACTCTTCTTTAGAGAATCACTATGATGCTAAACTGATAAATAATTTGAATGTAGATACATAGAAAGACGGGATAAATACGAGGATTAATAAGGGAATGAATAACAAGATGAGTTAATCAAACAATTAGAAAGAGAAATTTGTTGCTTATATTACATTTTGAATCAATGTATATAAACGAATTACAAATAGTTTTCATAGTTTCTAAGTATTTGAGAAATATATAAAGGAAGATACTTAAATATTATTACTTTTTTATGTAATATTTAACACAGAAGTGAGTCAAACTACTGTGCTAAATTATTAATTGTTAGGTATAAGAATATTAAATTGCATTACTCTATAATATTTGATTTCTAATAATAACATTCTATTAGAGCAAATATACAATACTCAATCTTCTTTAAATGTTCTTTTACGTATAGTATCAAAAGACGAATTTAAAATTAAGATAATAACTTTTCCCAAAAAGGATTCTCAATATATTTACGGGTCGAAACTTCCAAATAAATCAATTCTGGCCATAATTTAAATATTAATTTTATACTGCTAAGAAAAATCATGTTGTACCATTGTATCGATTCATTGAATACGTGTAGCAAGATTTTGTGTAACATCGGCATACAGCACAATTCATCGAGACATTCTTAAATAAAGGTCTACATGTATCGGGGGTGATTATGCTAATCGACGGATAAGCAAACCGCGGCGACCATATTTATGATCCTCGTTAACGTTCATTGCGTTTATTAATTTTACGAGCAGCCAACGTTGTTCGTAATTGTTTCTCTCGTCCCGCAGGCTACCATAAAATTATTATCGTATTATTGTTGTGTTATTTTGACGTTGCAATTATTGGCTACCGTATTAATTGGAAAATATTGATAAGTTCAATATTTTCGATTCTACAGTCGAAATAACAGAAAACCGTAAACATGAATAATTCATAAGCAAACAGTTAACATAAAAAATAATGATGGCAACTCAACAGGTAGCGTTAAGATAATGAAAGCAGTCCTATAAATAAACAAATTTCAATATGTGAGATAAATATTTATTATGTGGTTTATTCTTAATATTCTTTTATTCTGCATATTATTTGATTTTGAGGACTTCGCCTCTTTATTTAAAACTTTAATATAATAGTAATAATATAAATATACAATTCGTACTTCAAAACACTAGTTTTCAATGCATCTTTGACATACATTATCTATTTAAACAACAAGAGATTGGGTAATAAAATATTTATATCACAAAAAATATTCATTTCAAGATTATTCATCGAAATATCCAATAAAAAACGTCGTTTTATTACTAATAAATAAATACAGTTGATTCTTCAACTAAATTAAAAAATCTACTTTAATCCTAGATCATTAATATTTCGTCAAAATAAAAATTATGCAGTTCAATTCAGTACTAAAATTTATGTTTCATTCGTAATTTTAACATGTTATTGAAAGATATTACTGAAAAAAATATAATTTACTGCTCTAAAGTTAATTAAAATTTATTTGAGGAAGGAATCGCCAGTGTGAAGGAAGGGCGTACAAATGGATCGCTCGAAAAGAAAGGAGTCGGATGTTTTAGCTTTAAAGAGTGAAACGTGGCATTCAATTATTAAATGCGTCACGCGTTTCTCCTTCGCCGGTATAAACGACAGTTCCCATCTCGAGCTTTTGGTAATCATTTGTATCCGTCTAGTAATTGTGTAACACGTTCTACTCCCTGGCGGCGTATGGCAAGGAACGAAGGTAGTCAGTCCATCACCCATGACCATTTTAGGTAGGAACAAATTAA